TGCAAATGCTAGATGCTCCCATGCACATACTCCCTGGTTCATATTTGTCAAGAATCCAAGCTGCATTACTTTGTGCAACCTCATAGCCCAACTCTGCCATCCTCAAGTACAGTAGAAAAGCCTTCCCAATATCTCCCTTCAGATATGACTCTAATGCCCATCTAGACAAAGAACTCCATGGCCCACGTTCTGCAACTAGTTTGTACAAGGCAGTTGCCTGAAATCACAGAAAAGAATGATTATTATACTTGTGGGCACCATTTAACAAGTTTTTACTAGAATCCATGAAAACATAAATCACGTGCTCAAGCTCAGATTTTAGGCATTTTGAATTTTACACAAAAACCATTAATGAATGCCAATAGAAGCGTGGCGATTTATAGTAGACACAACATACGGTTATTGAATGTCAACACAAGCATGCACTAGTATAACCCTCCAATCCACCAAACCCTGCAAGCTCTTCCAATTATATATATACTTGCATGATGACTATGATCATATAACAACACATGATGTAATCTAGGAATTCTAGACGTGTTTTACAAATTTCAGATGGCTGACTAATACTTCGGAAGGGACGGAAAAGAGGTTGGTGTGCAGCTTAGCCGGCTTACCATTGGAACATTCTTTTTAAGCCCCACACCAGTGTGGAACATTTTTGCCAATTGATAAAAAGCCTTTGGCTGACCCACATCAGCAGCTCCTATAAAATACTTGCTGGCCAGCTTTAAATCTCTTTTTACCCCAAGTCCTTTCAGATACATCACACCAAGGTTGTAGAATCCGCCAGGCTCATCATTATCAGCAGCCTTTTCAAAATACTCTTTTGCCTGCAATAGAAGGTTATCAGATAGCAACACACCAAAGGGAAAGTAAGCTTCTTGATGAGAAAACCCTAGGCAAGTTAAAAACACAAAATGGAAAAGAAAATTAAAATAAAACATGATAAACCACTACCTGGGTATAGTTCTTTGCCACGCCATAACCTTTAACATAAAGATATCCCATGCCATTATAGGCTGAATAAAGTTGTTGCTTGGAAGCAAGTGATAGCCACTCTAATGCCTTGGTGTAGTTCCTCTCAACTACTGCTCCTCTCACATAAATTTCACCAAGAAGTTCCATTGACCTTGGCTCACCCTTTTCGACAGCCTTCAAGAACCACGATAATGCCTTGGAATGATCACGCCTCACTCCTCTCAATCCAAAGTAGTAAAATATACCAATTCTGTACATTGCCCCTGCATTCCCTTTCTGTGCTTGGTATTCCAAAATCTGGAAGTCCTCGTCCTCTTCTCCCCGAGACTTTCTCAATGCTTCCTTGTTTTCCTCACTTCCACTATGTATCCGAACTGGTTCAATCACAGGCGAGTCCTTTGAAATTAGAAAACTATTTATAGCCACCTCTGCCAATTCAGCATACAGTGTAACTGCTTTATCATGCATCTGCAGACAGTGAACACAGAATTCATGCATATATAATATTTCACTCATGCATCATAAAGAAAAACTAATTAAAATTGACAATAAAACATTAGAAGAAACCATGTCTCACATGCTCTTCCAACATTGGAAAATGGAGAAAGGTCCCAGGTTTTCCAAACTGCCACTTTTCTTAAGGATAAACTAGCGTTTGTCATAATATCAAGCATCAATTGGATTAGACCGTTGCAATCCAACAAGCAGGTGCGTGAGTCAATCACTACTTGTTAAATTCAAAACGGTTGAACATGATTGGATGGCTAAAACTAAAGCAAGAAATAGCATTTCAGAATTCAAGGTTTGCTATGGTTCAACTTGAAGAAACTCTACTAACATTGCCAGCATGAACATAAAGATAAAGCATTCTGCTGCTAGAAAACTAGTATGCAACTAAAATCTACTACACAACAAATCAACAATATACAAAACACAATGGCTATTGATATGGAATCCTCATAAATGCATTAGATGGGATGAGTATGCAAAATGAGGAAAATTAGAAATAAGTTGGAATTATTGAGTATGTAAAGTATGGATGACTATGAACTACACAAATATGACCAACTACTGTATCGTACAAACTCTTTGGGACAGGCCAAAATGTAAAATTGGGACAGAGGGATATACATCAGTGAAATTGAGATATGGGAGGAAACAATCTTACTTCTTGGCGGTAGTACGCATAAGCAAGAGCCATCTTGGACTGCATATTGCCGCCTTCAGCAGCAAAATGGTGGTACAAAAAAGACTTGGCCTTGTTCTTCTCCCTCGTCATACCCGTACCGTACAAAAACCCCAGGACTGACTGGGCGTGCGGGTGCCCAGCAGCAGCCGTGGCCTCCATCTCAGACCCGGCCTCCTCCATGCCCCTCACGTCCCCCCGGCTGCAAGCGGTCACCATCTTCCTCACGGCCAGATAGTACGCAGCCTCCCGCTCGTCTTGACTCGCCGGATCCCGTCCGGGCTCGAAGATCGGACTCCATGAACCAGGGTCGAGCTCGTGGTCAGGTTTTGCGTCGGAGATTATAAAATCGTCGAATTCAGAATCCGTGGAATCCGTTTCAACGGGGGCCGCGCCGGGATCAGTTCCATGGTCCTTGAGATCGTCCTGTGAGATGACGAGGACGAATTGCCGGCCGAGTGTAGCAACCGGAAATAGGGCTACGAGTACCAGAAGAAGGTAGCTGAGGTGCTTGATTCTCCTATTTCGCATCTCCGGTCGGCGATCCACCTTTATAAGCTCCGGCGATCGGAATCTGGGAAAAGAAACGTGAAATGCTGAAGCGGCGATTTTGTTCGACGGGTTTTCCTGGGGAACTGTAAATATACGGAGTACTTTGCCACGTAGAGGCTGCTATGACTACCAATAGGATTCAACCAGGTCAATGTATGTCCGGAAATGTAGAGTTGGTATATGGTAAGTATGTAGAAAGAAGTACATCCACGTAGTATTCATTCTGAAATAAAGTAGCATTCATTTTCGTATAAATATAAATATCCATTTCGAAATACGTAGTACTCATTCTGACAAAGGTAGTACTCATTTTAAAATAAAGAAGTACTCATTTTCACACATTTTATTCAATACAATTATAATATTTATCCACAAATAACGTAGTATTCATTCTAGGTAAAAATAGTATTCATTCTCAAATAACTTAATGTTCATTCTCAAATAAAATAAAACTCATACCATAAATAACCTTTTCTCTACAACTAGGGTTTTCATATCCCCGCCTCTTCCTACTTTCTTCCTCCATCTACGCGACCCGACCCGCGACCTCAACTTGTAACGCCGCCACCACCTTGGGTGCTCCTTAGATATTCATTCTCTATCGTTGTCGCTGGATTTTCGCCATCGGCACTCCTCGTCCTCTTCGCTGCTCAATCTTCGTCTCCGGTGGCCCGACCCGGCAAATGGAGGAGCGGCACTAATTCCGGCAGTTCATTCCTTCTTCAATTAGCCGGTTGTACCTAAAATTAGGTACAACCAGGTGTACGGTATAATTTTCCGGAAATGTACTACAATATCTCTCTTTATTTTTCAACTTTGTTTAATTAAGATTGTGATTTATAATGTTTGATCTCATCCTCAAAATAATTTATATGAAAATCAGAGATATTATAAAATAAAAAATACGTGTTTAAAAATATGTACATCAAAAGCACTATCATATTCTCCTTCTGTCCCATTTTAAATTACCTGTTTTTCTTTTTTCTCCGTTCTAAAATAAGTTGTTTGTTTCTTGTTATTGTAACTTTTAAGAGTAAAATACCTAAATTACCTCTAAAATAAGTCACTCTTTTTCACCTTATCTTCTCACGCGAGTAATGAAAATAAAAAAAGAAAATATATAAAATTTGGACTTGTAAATAAGAAATATACGATTTAAATTGAGAGGGAGAGTATCTTTTGTTTTGTACAATATTTTTTTGAAATAGAAAATCACAAAAGTTTTTAAGCTCCAACATATTCATGTATAGTTAATACGGAGTATATTATACCGGAGTAATAGAGTAAATAATACAGTACTAAACAATATAATTTGCAACACTCAATTTTTCTCAAAAATTGTCCCACTTCAAACAATGTGCAAAACCCCATTGTTATTTATAATTATTTTATTCACAAATTTGTTGTATAAAAATAAAATCTACAAATCATACCGTTCAAGAATACATAATTTTTTTTACACATATAACAGAAATATTTTATATTATCAAACGATCAATAAAAACTTGCGAACAAATTGAAATTATAGAGAATCCATAACAATAATTAAAACAAAATTTTTAAGAATGGAGTACAGAAAATGAATGAATACAATGTTATAGGAAAATGCTAGGGGTACACCAAAAGTATACCCCAAACATCCCCACCCCCTCCATCACCACAAAAAAAGCAAGAAAAATTCAAAAAAAAAATAAAAAATAAAAACAAAATAAAATGAATGGTAAAGAGAGGGGTGGTGTACATTTGGAGTACACCTTTGGTATATCCCTAGCATATCCCGATGTTATAACATATCTACCTGAAACCCTAGTTCCATTATTCAAGCCATAGGTTTAACCAGCGAACCTGAATATTAACCAATTCGATCACCATTTTAGTTTTGAAAACACAATCCTATCGAACACACAAGTATGATGGGTGGTTTGACCAATCAAAGTCTGCACCTTTGGTTTTTATTTACCAAAATTCAACTCCATTAGAATTTCAAAAAAAATAAAATAAAATAGAATAACCCCAAAATTTGACACCACCATTACACGCACAAATAATATCGGTTTCTCACCAACAATTATTATTTGTCCATGTATGTAGAATTTGGTGGTGCATGAAAGTAGGGATTGCAAAGTACACAAACATATAATGTCCGTGTGTGTCTGTGTTACTCCTGGCGTACAAATGAGACGCACTATTTTGGTGTACCCCTTGCATTACCCATTGGCAAAACACACTGTTGATAAAATTTGCAAGTATGGTGAAATCAAGTACACAAACCTATCAGCAAATCACATTTGCAAATCACCTCTGTACAGTTACAGTGCAAGAACAGTATAAAAATTTACACTCTCTAAGCACTCTTCCTCACTTTCCCCATCTGTCTACTTTTTTTTACCAACACATGATACAAATGCCTATAATAACTACAGCAGAATGTGTGCATTTTTGTTCACATTACTCCAAACAAAATGAAAGAGAATCTGTCATGTCTTTCGCGCAATAGTCGCAACTATGAAGAAACTATGGCAAAGAGATTTTCTCTCTATGTCCCCCTCAAACTACGCATGTGGAAGTACTCCCGCCTCAACAATCATCATCTACAACACATCCCACACAAATAGTTGAAGTCAAAGGAGAGAAGTAGCTCACAGATTCAGAGGAACAAAATGACAGAGGGAGATTCATTGAAATACTCTTAGACACTAGGGAACGAATATGCACCTTTTCTTGTCTTCCTTGTTGAAGAACAAGCTCCTTTTTCGTGTCTTCCTTTTTTTCTCACCAGCCTGAAAATGTCACATTTGCATTCACAGTAAGAGTATGTTCGAATGAAGTTTCTTAGGGGACCGAGAGAGAATGTTTCTGAATTTATTTATTGGTTGAATTAAATTTAACATAATTTTAATAAAAAAATTTAGTGAAACTTATCCTCTTTTCTTTTTGGAAAATACTCCCTCCATCCCATAAAAAGCTTATCACTGTCCCTATTCGTCCGTCCCATATAATTTTCTCTAAAAATAAAAATGATGTCCCTGAAAGTTCGCCCTTTCCTTCGGACACACACCTACACATGCAAAAAATTGGCTTGGCTTTATGATGTTGAATCCATGTTGAATCATCATTTTGCTGGTTTACTCAAACTCAGGTCTCTTAATTGGCTGGGTCATCAAGTTTATATATCTTTATCATTTTATAAAGAGTAAATTCTATAATTAGTCCTTTATAACATAGAGTTTTCCATATTTAATCCTTTATTATCAACTATTACGCCTATGGTCCTTTTATGAGTACCTTTCCACGAATAGTTTTTTTGACCCACTGTCATGTTGGTGTTAATTTGAGGGCTAAAAGTGTAATTTAACATCAACCCTATATCCACTGACGTATTCTGATGTCAATTAGACGAACAACAAACGAAAGACCACATCTGTAGACTATGGTTGTAGCAGAAAGCGACTGCGATTCAGGAGCGACCTCTTGCATTGTGTATGACAAGAAAAATATATGATCAATGTGAAATTACACTTTTAACCATTAAATTAACACCAATATGTCCAAAAATTAAAAAAAGGACTAATTATGGAAAGGTACCCATAAAAGGACTACGGGTGTAATATTAGATAATTGAAGACTAAATATGAAAAACCCCTTGTTATAAAGGACAAATTATGGAATTTACTCTAAATTTCTAAGCGCTCGAATTGATCCTAAAGAAATTTCACTTCCTCATGAATTGATCCTTAATCAAAATATTATGGGTCTAAGTATATTTTGCTGAGGCAACACCCCACTTTTCACCTTGAATTGGTCAAGATATGTCAACTTTCTAATGTTTGATCTAGGATTAGATCGTGCTAAGGATGACTCATATTGTAAACCATCATTTAATTGCTGCTATTCTTTTCTTTATCATGTGGTAGATGTATATAGGACCAACTCGGGCCTTGATTATGGTCTAAAAGAATTTTAGATGTTCATAAGGAGCCATTTATGACCCTAAAGGACTAAGTGTAGCAATGTTCAGCTCATTAAAGATTATTATAGCCGCTGACAATGATGCAGAAGTGTCATTATTCAAATATTATGTGAATTGAAGATTGCTTATAGTTGGTGCTTCCACCAATCCACCCATGATGCATCGTAGCTTTCTTGTAACAGACCATGAACCAACTGGTGGATAAAATGATCTAATGGATTGTGTTCTTAGACATTGTGATCATGGTTATCAGTTATCACGACAAGTCGAGTCGGTGAGATGATACTGATCAACTGGTCGATCAGTCGGCTGAATATCTAATGATTAATTGACAAGTGATAATGAATAATAAAATTCTTTATAAAATAAATCTAAATATATCACTACAGATAACCACATTTTTAAAAGATGAAGGTCCCGTTTGGCATCAGCGTCAGAGATTAGCATTAGCGTTTTGAAAAAGCTATCCGACGGTAGCCTTTAGCGTTAGCGTTTTCAGAATTAATCTGCACCGTTAAAATTTTATCTAAAACGCTAACACTAATCGAAAACGCTGTTACCAAACAAAGCCGAAATATCATTACCTTAACAAGACTATGTTTAAAGGTAGGCAGGTAGCACATAAACAACCAAAAGTTAATTGCATGGTATTCAATAATTCAAAAAAAATGATTCATACAGCCAAAAAAATTAGTTACAAGACTTAAAAATATAAAAATTGAAAACAAACAATTAAAACAAAACTGAAAGTTGAATAAAAGACAACAAAAAGTATTTCCTAAAATAAAAAAACAAATGAAACAAGAGTAAGAGATTTTTTTCTGAGAATTGGATATAGGCAGTAAAACATTGTAAAAAACAAGACGTGAAGTGGTTAAATACCAATCGCTGCGCAACTTGAAACTTATTGCGAATACCATCTGACTGTCAACCAGGGTTGTCTTTCTTAATTAAATGAAATTTTGGATAGGTCGGGTTGGATACTCGGATCACAAGATTATGGAGATGATTTGGACGAGTAGTTGTCGATCTAAAAACAACTGGATGATGAGGGAGTTCAGTTGCAAGTCAAAGAAGGCAGTTGACCACCGCCAAACGATTGGATGACTAGTCGCAGACTTCTTGACAAAGTAATAACACTGATCGTGATGCAATTATCTAACATCTCAACTGGATGCCTTTGTTTCTAGGTTTTCCAATTTTGGTTTGTTTAACTATAATAATATGATGAGTGCTCTATGGAGCCATCAAGATATGTTTTCGGTTACTGCTATACAATTACAATCCGCTTTTGCACGATGGATACAAATGAGGTGAAATGACCCATACTTTTTTTAGCACCAGGTGGAAATGCAAACACCAGTTTGAGTTGGAGAGGTGTAGTGGCAGTGGGAAGGAAAGTAGCATTGCTGCCTAGTCCATTACGAACTGTGAATTTCTTGGAATATCATACTCTTACATTTACGATTCAAATGACAGCATTAATAGTTTTTACAGGCTTGAAAGGTGTGCTATTTTCTTGTAGTTCCTTTTTGGTACCAAATAAACCAAATCTTGGTTTTTGTTATCCTTGTGATGGACTGCACAAAGGAGGCCTAGCGTCTCAAAGCTCGAGGCACATTTGAGGCACACTCCCAAAATCATGAGGCGCAAAGGAGGAACAAAAAGAGAAGAGTATTCCAGATTAATAACTACACATACAAAACACAAGCTACATTAAAAATGAATCCTAAATAGAAGATGATATAAAATTCATGGTTAAACCTTTAGCCCTTGTTTGGATGCAGAGAGAAAATGAGGAGAGAGAAAATGAAAAGAAATTGAGAGAAGAGAAAGTGGAGACAAAATGGAGAGAAAATAACTATTGTTTAGATGAGTAGAAAATGAAGAGAAAATGTGGAGAAAGGGTGAAAAAAGAAAAGAAAGAAAGTTGGAGCTTCACATCACTTTCTTACCATCTTTGGAGAGAATATTCTTTGTGGGTCCCGCCACATTTTTCCCTTTTCTCTCCCATCCAAACAAAAGAAAATGTTTTGAATTCAGTGTTTTCTCTCCTCCACTTTTCTCTCTCCATTCTCTTCAACCAAACACACTATTAAAGTAACATACAACTAGCAAATCTCATAATAAACCAAACATTTTTCTTTCATGCTGAAAAAGTATTTAAATTTGAAAAAAATAAGAAATTAATGAACAGATAATATGTAGAAAGAGGGGGGGAGACATAGACCAAAACACTAAGCAAAACCAAATATGACTATGCGGAATTTCAAAGTAAAAACTATGAGAAAAGAGCCAAAAAAACAAAGAGAAAATATACAAAATACAAAAAAAATGGAAGACAGCAAAGAAGGGTAGCAATAACCATAGACGAAGAAGAAGAAGAAGAATACGAATAAGAAGAAGAAGAAGAAGAAGAAGAAGAAGAAGAAGATAATGATGAGTAAATAAACCTAAAATCATTTTTTAAAAGCTATTAGTCAAGATTGAGGCACGTCAAGTCACGCCTTGCAAACATTGCTAGCCTCAGCATTAGGCTATGGTAGGAGGTAAGGTGAGGTAGGGGACATTTGAAAGGAGGGAGGTAATTAACTAACTTTTTGGCAAAATTAGAACTACCACATTGTAGATCTTTCAATCGTCTCTTCACACTTGTGTGCTAGGGACGATATTGCAAAGTGAAAGAAGTTTACATCGAAACAGTAGAGGAAGAAAAGACTGTCAGACGACCGAAGCAAGAAGATTGAAAGACAACTGAAGGCAGAAGACTTTTGAATACAATCTCAGGAAGAAGACGTTCTCATGTCGTCGGTCCAGCTCAACTAATCCTTTAAAAGAAAAGGGCTATGGCACCTTTAATCTCAAGTACGCCACTATAAATTAATGTAAAAACAAAAAAGGCTGAAATAGTTCTACGCTAGATACCATGTCGTAATTTGAGACCTTCGTAGATATTTCCCATTTGCAAAGAAAAGCTAATGAAATGTTATGCAGAGCTTTAATTTCAAATCAAAATATTGATCAAGACCAAATTTATGTTACTTTAGGGAAACTCCATAGTGCACCTCAAATCAATAAAACAGTTAAAAGTGTACCTTTAAAATTAAATATTTCATGATGAGAACAATGGCATCCCTGGAACTGCAAAATGATAGACATACACAGGAAACTCAGTTATAACAACAAATGATCGAAGACTGAAAGCATAACAAGAAACTAAACAGAACATACTGCTCTGCCCAAACACTCAGCTAACAAACATGGATGATATGCATTGCATGAATGGGGAAACGAAATGTCCCAAGACTAAGATTAAACTAAATTAGTATAACCAGTAAGAAAAGAAGTTTACTTCAGTACATAATAATTATACCGTAACAACACTCACAAATAAAACCCCTGCTCCCAGAAATCAAATCCTATAATTCACATAGGTGTAACTTTCACCTGTTGTTTTTTTGTAAACTACGGAGTATTCCTGTATCCCAACTACTAAAAATAAGGGTCATCTTTTTTTAACTCCCATAATGTTATGTCGATGGTGTAAAAAAGAATTATTTTAAAGGAATGGGATAATCAAGAAGCAAGACAGAAAATATTTTGGCTCCAAAGGTAGCTACAAAATAAGAACTCCTTTCAATTAAAGAGACACCTCTTACAGAAAAAAACACCCTTCCGTCCCAAAATAAAGTTTTTGTTTTGGTTTTTGATGTGTGTGAAGCTAGTTCTAATTGAATATATATTTGAAAATTGGTGTAGAATTAAAAAATAAAAATTATACATTTAAAAAGTACTCCCTCCATCCCAGTTTTTTTGTCCACATTTCCTTTTTGAGCAGTCCTAGTGTGTTCGTCCACTTTCCCTTTATGGTAAACTAAAAGTTCTATAGTGACTCTTTTACCCCCTTTCAAATCTCCCATTACGTCTTCTTATCTTTGTTCTCAATTGAATCTCCCATTTCTTTTTCTTTCTTCATCTCTCTTGCTCTCAATCTCTCCATCTTCCTTTTCTTTGTCGTCAATATTTTTTCACCTTCACCCATCTCATTTTCTAAGCACAGATGCGGCAGCCTAGATCAAAGATTTTCTCAGTTGCATATTTGTCCTTCGGCAACCACAAATATAATATGAATGGATCTCCAAGCTTTTCTCTGGTGGATCTAACTCTCCTTTTACCCTGTGTTCGCACTTTTTTCTTCCTTTTTTTCGTGCGGCATAAATCAGATCTAAGGAAGAATTTATGGTTAATTGTAAATAGAGATTGTTTCAAAAGGAAAATTTTCATCAAAAAAACATATTTTACGTCGTTCTTTGTCATTCGTCGTCGCAGTTTTTTGTGTGATTTCGTCCCTCGGAGAGATTTTTCTCACCCTCACCAAACATGAATAATGATTACTGGTCTAATAATACCGCACTGTACAGTATATTGAGCTGTAGTTTCACTTTTTTGGCGAAGGGTTTTTTGTAACTTCCTACACTAATTATCCCCACCTTGGTCCAAGAGCCAAATTGAAAGTGGACAAAGAGAGTGGGACGAAGGCTGTACATCAAAAGCTCTGCAAGTATGTGGTGAGTTGACTCTTTTATTTTATCAAACGATCAATCAAAGTGTAAAGAAAGAAGTAATAGTTTGAAGGTTTGACCCAGTAAATTGTGAACAAGAACCTTAATATGGAACAGAGGGAGCAAAATCTCTATAATTCGTCATACTTCTTTGCTTGTTGCACGTCACAACCATGTAAAGAATCACCCTCTTTATTGCTCTCTTGAAATTATAATCTCATGCATGAAATCCCGTAAAGGCAATCTCACACACAAACAGACACTTCCAATAACAATGCACAACTGACAACATTTCAAAAGTTTGAATACTGAAGACTTACTAGCTGATATTTGTTACCCTCAATAGATGTCGATCCCCTCGACTATCGGTTACTGAAAAATCCCCAGAACATGCAAATGGAATAGAAACCTGGCAGAGAATTTTACTCAAATATGAAAATGATCAGAAAATATGTTTCTCAACCCTCTACAAACTGATTACTGTGTTTCATTTCATTGGCCATAATTGAACATTATCCATGAATACAATGATTTCATGAAAAAAAGGTGTACAAAATATTTACAATGACATCACATTTCAAAAACCAAATGAATAGCACCAGATTACCCACCCACCTAAGACCTATAAACCACACCACCTAAAATTCTACAAAAGTAGATGGCAGATCTAGAGCATATACCCAGAAGTTTAAAATATGCATGCAAGTAGATCTTAAGAGTAAAATCCTACCAGTAGCACAAGGTAGGAATATGGGAAGTTGGGCACATAGAAACCATAAAATTTAAATTTCAAAAAACTAAAAAGGAGAATTTTGATAAGTTATATACTCGAAACCTAGACTATGCAGTAGTGCTCTGCAAATTGATTGACTAAATTGAGTTATATGTATACATATGCATCAAGATTTTAAACGCCATGATCAGGGTATCAGTTGCTAAGCTGGGAAAAAACTACCAAAAGCAACACACTTTATTTATGTTAGCCGCCTGGCAGAATTAATACATAGCAGGTATCAGATTTTCATCACATTCAGAAACAGATACATGGGTCATAAATCCGTTATTACTATGCTGATACATCCATTGCGATCAGTAAATTACTCTGTTCTAAGCAATCAAGCCATCTTACAGAAACTGTGAACTCCAATAACACATGGAACAAGAAGATGACAGGACATATCAATAGCATAACGATGCAATGAAAAAAGAGAAGAAAATGAGCATATTTGAACATAAATAAATCCACTTTTTGGTCAATATGTTTCCCCAGTCAATGCTAACATATCAAAAGCAATGAACCGATTGGGCCTTCAAGAAATGAAGGTTGCAAGAAAACTTATTGGCAAATAAGAGCACATACAGTTATAGATGGCGAAAATTTGTCAACCACAACACTATTAGTTCCAGAACACTTGATACTGAAACCATCCCTCTTTATAGCCAAAATAGCTGGCTCCCATATGTCAAGATATCCTGTCTGAAGAGCAAAGAAAAATAAGAAAACTAGTGCATAAATATGCAGGGTTTGCCTTTTTCTAGCAACGGATACAAAAATTGGGTAACCAATTAAGCAAAAACAGATTTATGTAGCATATTCTTACCCACAAGGATACATTAAATGAAGCATGACCACTGCTAAGTGTTCTCTCTATGAAATTTTGCATATCAGAATCTATAGCATATAAACAATGTTTAATCAATGTATAAGATTATATATATGAAGATAATGTTCAATCATCCATAAGAAATAATATACACAAAGTACTTAAAAAGTGGATGCAAAAGAAGAAAGATTCAGAGCAATGAATGCCATACAGGGCAAGATAAGATTCTATTTTCTACATTTGAGGTCATCCCTTAGAACTTCCCCATTTGATCATGGCCCAGGTTTGAAGTTGAATCTTTGAAAGGGAGAATTGTACAAGTCAAAACCAAACAATCAGTCAGCTGAAGGTGCAACACTTAAGGATGAAACACTGATCAGACTGCAAGACTACCAAGCCCGGGCAAATCACCCAGAAGCTACCGCCCCATGTCAGAACATGGCAAAAGGATGCTTGATGTCACAGGCTTGGGCAATGAGCTCTTGAAGCCTGCCACTCCAACACGCACCTATTCCAAAAATGGCTTGAAGAAGGGTATCTTGCATTGTTGAAACATTCCATGTCTAGCCGCGACTATTCCCCACCAAGGTGTTATCTCCCTTTGAGCACCAAACCTTTTCCTCAAATATGCCCCACTTTTTTCCATTTAGATCCTGTCTAACCCCAATTCATTTAATCATCTCTGGGAATGCACTAGGATGCAGTCTACAGCTCATTGAATGCCTACTGCTTTTTACAACATTGCATGTTAGCTATTTTATGCGAGGTTGCAAAAGGCAGCTCACATACTTGCCACAGCCCCTAAGGTAAGCCCATTTTCCCTCTAAGAGACGTACCATTTTTTTGGAAAAAGAAATGTAATTCTAAGAGTTGACTCTTTGAACATGCTTTAACGTTTGATACCTTAATACTTTCGGCGCTGGTACATTTGTAAGGCTATTTATAGCCTAAAATTTGCATGTAAATCTTGGGTAATATAAATCAAATCGAGATGAGATTTCTTTTTTCATTAGCTTAAGGTTCTTGAGTAGATGATTTCTGAAACATCGGGCCTCCTCAAGCTTGAGGTGTTCAGGTCTTATCTGAGATAATTTACAGAAAATCGGGTTCGTAGCAACTACCAACAATGAGTACCCAAAGACAAATTATGGTGGGTAAAACTGGTTTGCGAAAGGTATATAAAGTTCTATACACAGTCACACAGTCACACACACACACGATGGAGTAAACAATAATGTAACAGGCAGTACACGAACGAAAGGGGAGTTTCCTATTGCTACGAGAGTACATCAAGGAAAAGCATTAAGCACATTCCTTCTGTGATGGTAATGAAAGTTATAACTAAGGGGGGTGCATTTGATTGAGATTTCAAAAGACTTTTTTAGAGTTTTTAAAATCCATAGATTATGTACAGTTCATATATTATTTTGATTCCATATGAATCTGGATGGATTTTAATAAATTCCATATGAATCTGGATGGATTTTAATAAATTTGTTTATATTTTAAAAAGTCCATGTTTCCATGCCCTCTCTTCCTGGCTCTCCGACTCTTTCTCTGGTGCGCTTAGGATGTACGCAACTCATGAATAGTCTCGTCGCCATGTTTTTTTCTTTTTTCACTGATAATGCTCAAATCATTTGACCAATCTTGATCGCCTTCCCCTAGCGCACATATCTACGGACTGGTTTGCTCGATTTCATCCCTTTGAGCAATTAATTGATAGATTTGATTTTTCAATTACTGTTCATTCATCCTCTTCTTCGAGCAAATGGTTTCTTTCATCCACGAGTCACTTCTATCATCCCTATAAATTGGGTTGCCACCTTACTCCGACCATTAAAGGGGGGGGGGACTCATGCTAAGGGGACAACTGTCGATGGGGATCCATTGAAGAAGAAGAAGAAGAATACCGCGAAGCAGGAATGAGAGGATGAAGTAGAAGAGAGGCCTGCGCCTTGTTTATCGGAAGAGCCAATCGTGGAATCTGCAAAATCTCTATATTTTATAAAAATCTTTTAAAATCTATTAATTTTTGAATACCATTAAATTTAGAAAGATATTTCTGAATACACCCCCCTAAGATTATACAACATGATTTACATTGGCGTATGCTGTTTGCCGATGAATACGCCTTGAAAGATGAGACTAAAGTAGGAGTCAATGGGAAGTTAGAAATGTGGAGAGAGAAGCTAGAGTCTAATGGTTCCAGACTAAGCAGAGCTGAAACAGAATATATTGAATGCAAGTATAGTAACATCAGAAGCACACATATCAGCGTGCAGTGATTGTTTTAAGAAATATCTAAGACACTCTATGGAAATGATGAATTTCAAGTAAGGCAGCAGGTAGGTTGACATGAAGCGCAACTAGAGTTCTTCGTAACGTTGAAGTTAAAAAGCAAGGTCTACGAACAATGATTCGACGGATGCTGTTATATGTATTGCATATGAGGAAGAGGGACACCCATAAGGACATGGGAGGAAGTGATTCTGAGTGATTTGTCAAGTTTGAATGCGGGCAATTGTGTGACTATGGATAAAAATGGCATGATAGCATTTTTGTTAATGACCGAACATGATTCTCCTCTTGGTTGATGTAACCTACCCCAAGTTACTTGGAAATACTTAATTGTTTCTGTGGTCCATATATGCAATGAAATTTTTATGGGAATCACCTCAAAAACCACTACGTTCAACCTAGGCTAGGGTTGCAACTAAATTCCATCTCTAAAATTCAAGAGGGAGATGTGGTGTTCTAAGCCTGTGATAGATCTAACATGAGTTGAATATGGCTCACTTGTTGAATTCTCAATAAATGTTCCTTGATGAAAATTTTGGGGCAACTTCAAGACAAATTCTATAGGCTCACGAAATTAAAATTACTGCCTCTGCCCAGAGAAACTTCACCCAGCTTCCCTTTTTTGGACATCCCAAAAAACACATCCCACTTTATTTCCTGTTGTAATAATGAAAATGTGGCTCACAATAATGCTCTCATCCAAACAACTTAGTAAATTTCTTTGGGACTGGGACTATATATTTGAAAATGGTAATATAGTTCCTATGGCTACTTATCGAGTTGACTCCCCCCCCCACAAGTTTGTTTGTGAAAAATAGTATTGTTTATATACTTGGAAGCACAAATAATTTCTATGTATGCACTCATGATGCAAACATCCAATGTTCACATAAATTTTGCATATGGATGAATGTAAACATTACCACAAGTTATTTTCTTGTGCTCATTTGCAAAAACCTTTACCGCTTCACCCTAGAAAAGAAAAGAGATGAAGCTACCTTAGTTACCTCGAGCAATTTAAAACAGTTTAAATGCAAGCAGATCAGATCAAACTATTAACGAAAAGGGACTCCCAATTACAATACTCCACAAGGGTTAAACAAGGAACTTGTAACAAGTATTTTGACTAAAAGTAAATTTCAAGATCTTACAACATATTTGGTAGATATAATACTACAAGTGCTATTTTTAACTTTTATTCCAAAGAGGAGAAATTACAGTCTTGTTTGCTGGGAAATATATTCCAACGAATTTCATTTTAAATCTTGCATGAGACTGGAAGAAATATTGGCTATCTTTGGACACAGGTACACTCTTAAAAGTTTGTTAATTACACAACTAAAACGCTCTTGATATTATATTTTATTACAATCACGACCTGTTAGAAATTCATTATGTTCGTACTAGGAACCATGCACACCATGTCCTGATTTTTATGTTTTTTATTATGTCGGCCTAGGTTCCATGTAACTTTTCTAGGATCAGTGTATTAGACCACTAAGGTGGCTCCCTAGCATTCATGAGTGCCTACATGCTGGACGCTTGATGGTCTTGCCATGTAAGTAAAAGGGATAAGCATGTGTGGATGTCCTCTGCAAAGAATTATTTTTATAAGTATTTTACTGCGTCTTCCCTCTTCTCCATAAAAATTTTAACTGACCTCTCTTCATGTAAAACAGACATATCACACAACAGTAAACAGAATTTTTTAAAAAAAGAATACAAGATATGTGGAAATAACCTTTCGCTTCCTATCATCCAGTGGCCGAACTTCAATGGCTAGGTAAGTGTCAACATCATCAGCAGTAACAAGATACACAGGTTGCTGGGCCCCTGACATCAGCATCATGCCCTTAGGCATACAGATAGAGAAGAAAGAGATACAACAAAATGAAAAGAAGAGATCTGAGAAGAATACCATCTATGTAGATATAGGATCCATCTTCCATATGCCGAATCCACTGTAAGTCCAGCCATGAGGTAAGAAAAGAAGAACAGATTCTAACAGATAGTACTCACAATTAAAGTTGCATGATGGATTCTAATATAATGATAAATTTATAATTGTATGAGTGGTGTAGTGTAACCATAGCAAGAAAAAAGCCTAGATTCAAAAGCACCTCAAAAATGCAGCTGGTTGTTCCATTGATAGAGTATCCGGATGCTTGGAGTTCTCGCCCTGGATATGCTTCACCTGAAATTTGGAGCCCTTCTATTGCAGGTAAAGGATCATCATCTGCAGCTGTTAAAAGCTTCATATTAGATCACATCTAGCTGCAAGATCCTTGTAGTGAGTCATAACGTGTCAAAAGAGAACAACTTTTACCTTCTGAGTAAGATGTAGTAGGTTCCTCCATAACAGGAGGTAAATATGACGAGTATGTGGACATTGGATCCTCTTGTGAAGTTACATAAGGAGAACTTTTAGAAACCCAACTAACTGAAGGTTCTCTATCATTGTTAGTTCTCTCATTGTCAGGATCATCTGTTGCATTACTGTTGCTAATTTCACTAAATGTCACTTGTTTAGTTGGTATTTCTTCATTTTTTAACTTTGAAATATTTTGGTCCCGGGTGATTGAAAACTGAGTAGATGCACCGACAAGAACAGCCTCCCTGCAGAGCAAGGTTAATCCTGAGTAAATAAACAAAACTTTGATAATATATTCATCTAGAATAAGGGAGCAATTAATATTAGAAACATAAAAGAGAATATACACAACAACAACCCAGTTGAATCCACAAAAGTAGGGCCTGGGGAGGGTGTGTACGCACACCTTACCTCTACTCGAAAATAGAGAGGCTGTTTCCAAAGAGACCCCCTACTCAGGCACTACAGGTAATCACGTACGCAGCATGACCCCTATGTTTAAAACATAGAGCGGCTGTTTCCGGATGACCCATGATGAGTGTTGAAGTTGCATTGACTAACTGCTACTTCACTATAAAAGAAGCGTAGACAGTTTAAAAAGCCATTTTGCTTTATTCCATCATACCCCAAAGCCAAAAAATAGTGAATCTTCGGCTCCGTCGGAGATGATGAAAATAAATGAAAATACAACTACAACAAACCAACATCCAATATGTGATACCATTTCCTTTACCGACTAAAATGCAGTAAGCAATATGGCATGTTTCCGGTAAAGAGTATCTATTCCATCAAATTTGGAAGAAAAAAATTACAAGGAATCATTTTTCCTACTCAAAGCAACATGAATTTCATTGTTGATTTCAGGCAGGTATGAACAAACAGGGAGAGTTCAACTGATAACAGAACCCACCACCAAAAGCAAGTTGGGATTGTACAATCAGTTCACAGTAGCATTCTCCATTTCACCAGGCTCACCTGCTTGCAGAAGGAGAACTGCCAAAATCATTTCCGGCCATGCCTTTTGTAGCATCACCTGTAATATCAAAGTGAGGACGAACCGATGGATCCCAAACTCTTCCTGTCTGAGGGTCTGAAGAGCTAATCACTCCTGCTACCAGGTCTAGCCCATCTTTAATCTGGTAAGTTTTGATTTCACTATTATGGAACATTCTAATCCACCTTGGTATTTGTGTAAACTGTATTTAATCATTATTACCACAGCATAGTCAGCAGGTGACATTTCAAAATTGGAGTTGACGTCAGATGACCAAGGAGCCAGTTGATACTGAGACTCCTTTAGCTTCGCCTATGATTCCAAGAAAATTATAGTTGTTATTATTATCATCATTATTATTATTATTATCATCATCATCATCATCATCATTATTATACTCCCTCTGTCTTGACAAGATCGTTCCATTTGACTTTTCAGTCTTCAATGTAACACAACACTTTGACCATTTAAATCTATATTCATACATAGATATATTTTATAAAAATTTAATATTTCAAAACTACGTTTCAAAAGAAAACTATTGAAATTACATTTATATCGAAACACAATGTATTTTTCCGCATATTGAGGTCAGAGTTTACATACTTTGACTAAGAAGTGTCAAATGGGAAGATCTTTCCCAGACGGAGGGAGTAATAATAATACTAATAATAATAATAATAATAATAATAATAATAATAATAATAATACTCCCTCCGTCCGGGAAAAAACTTCTCATTTGGACTTTTCTTCATTTTTTTGAAGGGTTGACTATTGGTGTAGTTTCCCTAAAATGCCCTCCCTCTCCCTCCCCTCCTGACCAGCCCGACAATCACCGTCCCAACCATCGTCGCTAGTACCTCCTTCGCCGCCTGTCACACCAACACTCATTTCTCCTCACCATCGCCGATTCGCCGCCACTCCACTTCCGGCAGCCTCACCATCGGCGCCAGCCCCACCTCCACCTCCACCGTGGTGCAGATCTAAAAGAAGATGAAGAAGAAAAAGATGAAGAAATGTAGATCTAGACTCACTGTCACCGTCGCCGTCGCTGTTACCGCCACAATCGCCGCCGCCATGCTCAGATCTAGAAGATGGAAGAGATATAAGAAGGGAGAGAAAAAGAGGGGGAGAAAGAAGAGAAGAAGAGGGGGACTGGGGGAGAAAGAAGAGATGAGATGTACGGGGAAGAGGAAGAGACAAAGAGAAAGAAGAAGAAGAAGAAGAAGAAGAAGAAGAAGAAGAAGAAGAAGAGAAGAAAGAGAAGAAGAAAGAAAGAAAAATGATTGAGAAGAGAGAAAATGGTGGGGGGGACGGGACGGGTAGATCTAGGAAGGAAGTTTGAAAGGGTAAATGAAATGGAATGATAAGGGTATTTTTGTAAGGATTGAGATTAAAAATTGAAATAGGAAGATTTTTTTGTGACTAGAAAAAAGGAGAAACAAAAAGAAGAGTGCAAACATAGCCGTGTCGTGTCAGATTGCAACAGTTTTCTTCCTCTCCGTCGTTCTCACCCGAAAAAAAAAGGAAAAAAAAAATCCAGGCGGCGAAAACTTCTTTGTTTCTGTCGCCGTCGCCGATATCTACCCCGCTCCCGATCTGCGAGCAGTTTCCAAACTCTCTACTCCACTGCCGTTCATCTCTCGTCAGCAACCTTCACACTAAGGTATTCTCTCCCTCTCCATAATTTTTTTCTTTATCTATGAAACTGAGAAAAGAAATCTCAATGTTAGATCGAGAGAGACTAAAAGGACCTGTACTTGAAGGGTTCATGAATTTATTCATTTTCAAGGAACGGCGGATTAAAAGTATGATATTTCCAGAAAATTCATTTAATGTTCCTTTTCTCAGATCCATTCCCCCCTTACATAAACCCTTCAAGTTCTTTGTTTTTCAGTATTACCTGATTTTTTTGGGTCTAGGTTTTGCGGTGCAGTCAAGGTTTTAACTCTCTTTCTTCATATGCTTGCATTTTTAGTTCGATTGAGAGGGAATGCAAATTTTCCTGATAAAAGGAGGTCGAGACACTAGGTCAATGCTACACTGGTGTGGTATAGTTGTCTAATTGTTGATACTTTTGTCGTATACCCGATGGGAAGTTCTGTTGGCTGCTGCCCTAAATCTATTGACCCTACGGCGGGTGGGTTGGTGTGGGTTCGCCGTGGAAATGGGTCGTGGTGGCCGGGCCAGATTTTGGGCCAGGAAGAATTGGTAGAGAGCAGCACAGCTTTGCCCAAAGCAGGGACTCCGGTTAAGCTCCTGGGTAGAGACGATACAAGTGTGTAAGTGCTATTGCTCTGCCATTTTCATTTGTTTCATTAATAATTGACTGGTTGAGTAATGCATTTAACTACTTCATTTGTTTATTTCTTCAGTCTTTTAATAGATTGCTACCGGCTGTTTTTAAGAATATTTAGCTCTGTATTTTGGGAGGTTTGATTAGCAAGCTATTTATCACATTATTGGCAGTTGGCTTGTGAAGTTTTTATTTATCCAAGCCCACAGATATCCTCTCTTTATAAAACAATGGTTACTGGGTGATTAGAAGTTGATATGGATGCAATTGATTTCTTTTCATAGCCTTTTCCATTTATTATTATTGTTATTTATTTATAACTGAAACTGACCAAAAACCGAAATGGACTGTCTAGACACTCATAAAGTTGGAGTTACATTGGTAATCTGGATTGTTGTTGTTGTTGTGTTAACTTCCTTATGCTTGCAGCATCTGTTTGCTTCTTGGTTTTCATGTCTGTGCATATATATGCATTTCATTCGTTATGTACATAAATACATGCAATACTGCTTTCCTCGAATCAATAATAAGGTCTAAACATGAGACCATTTTAGCAATTAATACAAAGCAGAATTAATTGGGTATGGTGATTGGGTGAATGAGTACTTTCATGTATGGTGTAACCGTGCAAGACAAAAAGACTGAGATAATCTACAGTTGGAAAGGGGATAATTTCTATTCTGCATGACTCTCTATGAATTGTCCGTGAAACTTTCACACGCAATATGTTCATGAAAGACACTAATGGGACTGTTTGTTTGGGGGGGAAGGGTATTCAAGAGGAGGGACCTGTAGCCAAATCTAGATTTCCATCAACCGTAGCAATCCCCTTTGTCTGTAGCCAAATCAGGATTTCCATCATCCTTCGTCTGAGGCTGCGGACATTCTGATCAAGGTCAGAAGCCCGGTCGGTCGAGCCTGTCTCCTTCGTCTGAGGCCAGCCAAGACTAGGGTCGAAACTCTAGACGGCACCCTCTATGGTTCTTCCCTTCATCCTCTGGAGTTCACTCCTTTCTCTCCTTTTTTCCCCTCCAAAATAACCAAAGTACCAAACTAGTTAATGTTAAAACCTTCCATCCCTTTCCCTTTTCTCATTTCCATCCCCTTCCTCTAACCAAACAGACCCTAATGGTCGGGGGCTCACCTTCACGATCTTTATCTACAGCAAAATTGTTAGTCCAAAATGCTTGATTTGTATTTTCTTCATTTCAGTTAGTAATTATGTGAAACTAAAGTTACACTACTGTTTGAACATTACCAAGCTAGATGTGAAATGCAGTCTAACCCTTTGTTTGGATGAGATAAGAAAATGAAATGAAAAAAATGATGAGAAAGAAAACTGTGAGAAGAGAAAATGATGAGAAAATGGGAAGAAAACAATTGTTGTTTGGATGACAAGAAAATGGTGTGAAAAGTGAAAGGAAAGAAAATATTATAATATAAATTGCCATTGGTACCATTTTCTCATCTCCTCACGTGAGAAATTTTTTTGCCCAATTGATCTCTCCCATTTTCCTTTGTGAGTATAGGGCTAGGAAGGAGGACCTTCATATGGTGTTTATTGATCTTGAGAAAGTGTACGATAGGGTGCCAAGGGAGGTTTTATGGAGGTGCCTTGAGGCGAGAGGAGTTCCCATCGCGTACACTCGCGCGATCAAGGATATGTACGGTGGGGCTAGGACTAGGGTAAGGACCTCCGGGGGCGACTCTGAGTCATTCTTGGTAGGGATGGGGTTGCACCAGGGGTCTGCCCTTAGCCCTTTTTTGTTCGCTTTGGTGATGGATGTCCTGACACAAGGTGTTCAAGAAGGGGTCCCATGGTGCTTGCTTTTTGCGGATGATATTGTGCTTATCGACGACACGCGTGAGGGACTAAACGATAAGTTGGAATTATGGCGCCTTGCCCTTGAGACCAAAGGATTCAAATTAAGTAGGAACAAGACTGAATACATGGAATGTCGTTTAGCGGTCGGGAAACGGAATCAGAAGTGAAAGTTAGGATTGACTCTCACCTAGTGCCTAAAGTAGACAAGTTTCAATATCTTGGCTCGGTAATTCAGGCTAATGGGGAATTAGACGGGGATGTTGGACATCGTGTTGGTGTGGCTTGGGCCAAATGGCGGTTGGCTTCAGGGGTGTTGTGTGATCCGAAGATTTTGCCCAGGTAAGTTCTACCGATCCGTAGTCAGACCTGCTATGATATATGGGGCAGAGTGTTGGGCGGTTAAGAAGACTCATGTGCGTCGTCTGCATGCGGCGGAGATGCGGATGTTACGATGGATGTGTGGGAAGACAAGGTTGGATAGGATTTCGAACGAAGTTATTCAACGTCAGGTAGGCATGGCGCCGGTGGAAGATAAACTGCGGGAAGCGAGGTTGAGATGGTTTGGTCATGTAAGACGATGGAATGTTGATGCCCCTGTACGGAGATGCGAGAGGATTACGGTTGTCGGGGGAAGTAGGGGAAGGGGTAGATCTAGGAAGAATTGGAAGGAGGTGACTAGGCAGGATTCAGGACTTCTCACCCTGACTGAGGATATGGCTCTAGATAGGAACCTTTGGAGAACTAGGATTAGAGTTGCTGGATAGGGGCCCGGTGCTTCAGAGGCTTTTTGTAGTGTGTTTTGTTTGGTTGGATTTTTTTGCTATTACTTGCAGGACTTTCATTCCATTGTACTTGGTGCTTTATCTGTTTTATACTATGATTCCTATCATATTTTTTTGTGCACATGGAGCCGGGGGTCTCTTGGAAACAGCCTCCCTACTTTCGAGTAGGGGCAAGGTCTGCGTACACACACCCTCCCCAGACCCTACTGTAGTGGGATTCAACTGGGTTGTTGTTGTTGTTGTTGATCTCTCCCATTTCCCTTCTTTCCCCATTTCCTTTCCCAACCAAACATGAGAATCTTTCTTGAAATTTGTGTTTTCTCACCATTTGTTTTCTTTCCTATCATTTTCCCTACATCCTAACAATAGCTAAAAGAGGGGAAGGTTGTGGTCAGCAGTACATTTTAATTCCATCAGCTTCTTACTTGGGACAGCATTTACTTCATGGTTGAGCTGGATGTACTTTCATGCTGGCAGCAGATTCATTGGTTCTTCTTATTAGTTGGGTTGATTTCCTTTGCGAGCCCTATGTTCAACAGAGAAATGAGTCTATTAGTTGTATGCCAACGTAATGTGTAACCGTTAAATGATTAAATCTGACATGTTTTTTGTACCTACATCATGAACAGCTGCTTTGAGCAAATCAAGTACCACTCCCTTCGTCAAAAAGAGGGTGTCGCTTTGTTGTTTTCATTACATTATGGAATTAATAAAAATTTATGTATGAAAGAGAGTAAAATACTACTATAGTTTAAGCTAAAGTGATTATATACGGTTACTAATGTGAGAAGCTGCGCCATATTAGTTGAATATATTAGGGTAAATTTGGAGATGTGCAATAAATGGTGTTCTAGAAGTGTAAAGTGACAACTCATTCGGGAGTTGGGATAAAAGTTTGAAAAGTGACATCCTTCTGGAATGGAGGAAGCACCGAAGCAATCATGAAGTTAATCTAGTGTAGCTTGCAGTGAGGTGATAAATGAGACAATATACTTCTATTATCTTTTTTTCTCATGTATTACCCTATATCATCTGAGAATATCAATATGTTGTGTGTTCTCCCAGTCCCATATTTCATGCCTTTAATGACACACCTCAATTCTTTTCTTAGAAAATGGAACCCTTTGCTTTTTATCAGGCTGCATTTTATATACTCAAATATTTTTTAAAAAAAATTAGTATCTAACTTCACACAAAATGTCTAAATTTTTTAAAAGTATTATATTGTTTGGTTGTTTTCAGGGACTGGTATAATCTTGAGACGTCTAAGCAGGTCAAAGCTTTTCGTTGTGGGGACTATGAAAAGTGCATTGAGAAAGCTAAGGCTGTTGCAGCTAATGATTCCAAGAAGGTAGTTAAACATACCCGAAGAGAAGATGCCATTCTTCGTGCTCTTGAACTTGAAACTGCTTCTTTAGCAAAAGATGAAGATATGGACAACAAGATAGTTAATGGATCTGATGGTTGTTCGGGTTCAAACCCAGAATTTTCTGAATGTAGAGGAACCTCTTCAGCCTCTGAAGAGGCAAATACGGCTAGTCCCTCTGAAGAACAGCCTGTGCAGGTAAGTCAACAACATCAAACCTTGCCAGGTGAATCAGATGATGGCAGTGGTGGGGCCCCCGAAGGAGTTAAGCGGATGAGAGGTCTTGATGACCTGGGGACAGGGGTTGTCCAATCATTAAAGAGAAAAAGATCTCAAGTAGCACATGTCCGCGAGTTCTTAAAAAAGAAAAGTCGTCGCCGTCGTCGCTTGATGAAGGTTTTAGAGAGCACCGCCATGGTGACTGTTCCTGTTGTTTGTGAAGAAGGCCTTCCAAGTCCAAATGAATCTGATCTTGCTGGAGCCTCGTGTAGTATGGAAATGGTGTCGACTCCGGAGTTGCCTAAAAATGGTGGTTTGGAGAGCTTGTTTGATGTTCCCTTTGTAGCAGAAGAAAAGAATTCTGCAGGTATCTTACTCTGTCAGTATCTAGTTATTGTTTCAAAATGGTATCTTCTTTCTTCAACATATTAGTAGGGTTTGTGGTTAGTTCATGAACTAGCTTACATTCCCCTTTCTTTTATTTTTTTGGTGTTCAATCATTTCACGTGAAGGAGTTCTCTAATGGTACTAATGCAGGGCAATTTTTAAGAATTTATTTCATCTCCCTTTCCCTTTTGCTCATGCTAATATTAGTTACATAATGGTATACAAAAGCCTTGAAAAACAAAACAGTATTATTTGTCGACTTTCTTTATCTTAATTGATATATACTGTGTATATATGCTCAATCTGTCATCATCAGGTTTGCCCCCAAGTGTATCATTACCATCTCAAAGTGCTCAGAATGGCGCCGAAGAAACAGGCACCCAAATCAGTCAAGTTGGAACTATGTTGTTAGGGAATGGTGAACAACTTGTTGAGTTGGGGTCTAGTAGTTTGGGGAATATGGAGGTCAATGCCGTTAGCGAGAAGATAGAGAAGGGGACTTCTAAGTGGCAGTCTAAACGAAAGAGAAACTCACGTCGTCAAGCTAGAAATTGTGATTCGGAGAAAACAGTGGGTGCAAACCACAAATCTCAGTTTCGAAGTTGGGGCACGAACACCTCTCACATGAGGGGCCCACCAAATGCTGAGGTGTCGAATCTTCAGAGGTCATTACCCCATCGTCAGTCCCGTTTCTCAGTGAACCCAAAGTATGAGTCACCACCACCACTGTTTGACGTCAACCTGGAAGTGAAATCCAGCCATGGCCGACCTCAACATCTTCCTTATGTCTCCTTAACCAGCAAAATAAATGGCTGCTGTGCCATCACCGGGCACCCAATTACAGTTGAGGTATTAGCCGACGGTTACTGTGCTCAACTACTGCTAAGAGCAAATGCTTCTGAATGTGGTGATGAGAATCATCATCTAGAAGGCCAGGATTATTCATCTGCTTTGCAAGGTGGACTCAAGGTGAGCTCTTGTATCAAGAAGCTGAAATCAAAGAAACCCACTCTGCTCTCTTCAAAGAAAATGAGGAAATTGTCTTCATTAAACGGGTCGCGCAAGCAAATTCAAGAAAAGAAACACTCGGAGGTGCAGGAAGGGCCCACGTTGGCATGCGTCCCGCTGAAAAAGGTATTCAGTAGGATTAATGAAGCATTGATCAGTTGTTCACCATGAGCGGCGGGGTTGTAATGGAACCAGCAATGGTCTTGAGTTGTTTTGAATTGGTTCAGGCGTCAACTTAGTCTCGTGATCATATACTCATGTCTCTACTGAAGATTGCGGGGTTTCTGCCCCATGAGTTGTAAGTTTAATTTCAGTTGTAAAGAAAAAGAATGATGTTCAGTTCTCTAGATAGAGGAAGTTTCAGCTGCAATCTTTATTACTTTCAGATGTATCAAAATATAAAAAAAAGAAATAAGAGAATATGGGGTTCCCATTTTTTTTGGTACACCCATCTTTGCTTGTTAAGGTCAATGTTCTCTTTAAGTTTTGTTCTTGTTACTTACTCCCTCCGGTCTTAAAACCTTTCTTGTTTAGACTTTTTAAAATCAAATACTGACATTCTTTGACCATAAATTAAACAACAACAACAACCCAGTTGAATCCCACTATAGTAGATCTTTTGATGTACTATTTTAACATAAATTAAACATAATCTAAATAAATAAATGATATAAAAAAACTGATTTATCAAAATTATATCCTAAGTTGAACTCAATTATATTAAATCTATATTATAATTAAAAATATTTTTCTCACAGTTTATGGTCTAAGAGTGTTATTATTTGACAAAAAAAAGTCAAAAACAGGAAAGGTTTTTAGGACTGGGACGAGTATTCTTATTATTATGATTATTTGAATCAGCTCAGACCATATCAGAAACAACTTTAAATATAACTACACTCAGATTAGGCTAGATCATACTCCCTCCGTCCCAATTTATAGTGTCTGTTTCGGTTTACGATGTTTGACTAAAACTATTTTAAATCATTTTATATGACAAATGGTATAAAGTTAAAAAATAAAAATTACATGTTAAAATACTACATCAAAAGATCTACAAAACTAATAGTGACAATAGTACTTTATTTTATCAAATTGCTAATCAAAATAGAGAAAGAAAGTGAATGAAGATTGACCCTGTGAATAGTAAACATGCATTATAATTTGGGACGGAGGGAGTACAAGATTAGAACTTATTCCAATCAGCTAAGAATCATTCAGATCACTTGAAGGGAAAATGGCTTGAGTAGTTCTTCAGTTCCAAAAAAGGCCCTAATTTGCGTAAATTATTAGCCCGGTGTACTTTTTTCTTGGTACATCATAGCAATCTTGTAATTAAAAAAATATTTTAGACTGAATACTATGTTGTTTCAAAATATATACTATGCTGTTTCAGAATAAAAACTACGTTGTTTCAAAATGAACACTATGTTAAGAAGGCTTTGGCATGAACATTGCGGTTGCAAATGACTTTCATTTTATTCAAAATCAGCATTCTGTTAATTCATAATAAATATTTACTAGATGTACATAGCTTTAGGTATAGTCGGGTGTACGATATATATATATACATACATACATACATACATACATACATACATACATACATATATATATATATATATATATATATATATATATATATATTGGTTCGGGTGAGAATGCAATCTTATGAAAGAAATAAGAATGAATTTGGTGCTTTAGATTGTGGGATCTAAGGGTCAGGATTGCATCAAAATTTGGTGCACCAAAATGGTTTGAAAATGCATCATATCGAAATGCACCAAAATCCCTTGAAAATGCACTATCTTAAAATCTGAGTGCAGGATGCAATCTGAGCCGCACGATGCATCAGATCCAAAGGCTAGATTTTATTCTTATTTCTTTAACCAAGGTGCATTCTCACCTGAACCGGCCCTATATATATATATATATATATATATATATATATATATATATATATATATATATATATATATATATATATATATATATATATATATATATATATATATATATATATATATATAGACACACACACACACATATACATACATACATACATATCCCAGTTTGGGTTGATAAAAAATTGTTGTTGAAAATGATGTACATGAGAGAAATATGTCGAGCTACAAATTTTTCTTATTTTATCAAATATTAAGTTTTTTGAACTCTTTTTTTTTACTATTGACTAATATTGGTATTATTCTTGTTGTTTCAAGTTTCACCCTATGTGCAAATCCCTATGGCTGATAAATATTGTGTTTGCTGACGATCTGATTCTAGTTTGTAAGGCAGATGAAGCTTCAATAAATTGTATCGTAAAAGCCATTGAACACTTTAAAAGAACTACTGGATTGCAAATCGACCATGCTAAATCTCAAGAATATTTCTAATAAGAATGACATACTTTGCGTGAAATGGGTACATAGCAGGTATTTTGCATATTGTTTGAAATTGGAAGAATAAATTGGAACAAAAATAGATATTAAAACTCATCTCAAATCAATTGTGAAAGAAAGATACAAGATATAGAGAGTAATTTTCACCAATTACTGTTTTTTTAGAAACTCTTCCCGTAAAATAAGTAATGTCTGGGTTTGATTCAACGCGAGAACAACGAAGGACAACTATGTTTAAGATTATCTCCCTACCTACAAAAGAATCTTAATTTGACTTACCATGAAGTTTAAAACAAGTAAATTTAAGTAGTTAAAAATGATCGTAAGAGATGGAAAGATTGCGGGTAATATAAAGTTGAGTAAATTCCCAAAGTGGTCATTTCGAATGAGTTTTCATAAATTAGTCCTCAATAAATTCTAATGACGTTCATGTTTCTATATAATTGAAATTTATTTCCTAAGTAGATTCGTAAAAAATGTCGATTAAGTGAAAGATATTTTGGCATTTTTAATTACCTAAACTTAATGTAAGTTCTCAAATTTATCATTATAATGAAGTGTTTTTTTCAAAATAGTCTTTTCTAATTAAGGAGATTTATTTGATTCAAATTTTAAAATATTTTTAAAGATTTTTAATCATTCATGGATTATTATAGTAAGGGCCTGTTTGGGAATAACGTTAAATGTTAGCGTTAGCGTTTTGAAAAGACTATCAACGGGCAAGTTTAGCATTAGCGTTTTTAAAGTTAATATGCACCGTTAACGTTTTATCCAAAACGCTAACGTTAATCGAAAACGCTATTCGAAATGGGCCCTAAATGAGTTTTTTAATTTTACATGAAATTGTATAGAAATAACCATTTTGAGAACTTTTTATAGTTTAACTGACATTTTTTTACGAAGTATTACTTAATAAATAAATCTCAATTATAAAGTATCATGTAGGTAATTAAAATTTATTGATGACTACTGTAGAAAAACACCTCATTAGAAAAAACTATTTTAGGAATTTACTCTTTAAAGTTTTTCATGAAATCTTCCTCGATAAGGGTAAAAAACTATGAAAATACCAAAATAAAAATCCAAAGTTTTTTGAAACCAAAATAGAAGTACAATGACTATGTAATATAAGAGTGTTGGTAGTATGATGAAAAGTGACGATATTGTAATATGACATTGTGATCAGTCAACCGTCGGTGGATCATTGGTCAATGTCGACGATTGGCAGTGGCAATCTGGTGGCTGATGACGACAGATAACAATGTGATATTTTTAATATGGTAGTTGCAGTGTGACAATGTGGTGAGCGTGACAATGTAACATTGTGAGTGTGAACTTATATTTTGGTTTTAAAAGACTTACAACTTCTATTTTGGTATTTTTTTTTAGTTTTTTACTCTTATGTAGGGAGTTCTCCCCAATTTTTTACAAATAAAAAGAAAAGTGTTTTTAAAAAAGAAATCTCCCTGCGTACAGCTAAAAAATTATGAAAATGCCAAAATAAGAGTCTTAAATGTTTTAAGACCAAAATAAGAGTATAATGACAGTGTAGTGTAAGAGTACACGCTGTCAGTGTGATCAATCAACCATCCGCGGTGGTACTCTGATGGTCAGCGGTGACGGATGACAGTGTCGCAGTTACAATGTGATAATGCGGTGACTTGTGAGTGTAGCTAGGGTTGTAAACGAACCGAATCGAAGCGAATATCATAGTAGTTGAATTTGTATTTGATTAATTTTTCTGAATACAAATTCGAATACGAATATAAAACGAATTAAAAATAATATTTGTATTTGTATTTGATTAATATTCGAATAGTTAACGAATCCTAAACGAATATTTGAATAATCATACTCCGTAATTTATATGTCGATTTCGAATAATTTAACTTACAATATTTCTTATACCATATCTAAAAATATTAATACATTTGTGTCTTATACAAATTATATTTTATAAAATATAACTATTAAAAATTGCATGCTTTATATTTTTGTATTAAAATTGCATGCTTTAAATTTACTGATGTTGAAAATATGGTCTCTGTATATAAATATATCCGAATATTCGAATATGATCTGAATCAAATACACCTCTATTTGTATTTACATTTGTTTAATATTTGAATCAAAACTAATATTTGAATTTAAATTTGTATTTGAATAACGCGAATTCGAATCATCATATTCGAATACGAATCAGGAATCGAATTTAAAATATTTTATTTGTTTACATCCCTAAGTGTAAAAGTGTGAACTCTTTATTTTTAATCTTAAAAGACTTATGCCTTTTATTTTAATATTTTCATAGTTTTTCACTTATAACTCACCCTTTGAAATAACTCAAAAAGAAATGATTTGTTTTTAGACTTATTTGGGATGGGGGTATATAGTGACCAAGGAAGGTGTGGTTGAGAAACTTTTCCCATTTGATCATACGCAATTTCGAAAAAGAAATATTTCTGGGTAATTGTCAAACCCTAACCTGTAACCCAGATCAATTTCATCGGAATCATGGGGAACGCAGAGAAATTGATGAATCAGATCATGGAACTCAAGTTCACGGCGAAAACTCTTCAGCGCCAGGCTCGTAAATGCGAGAAAGAGGAAAAAGCAGAGAAGCTTAAGATCAAGAAAGCAATCGAGAAGGGGAACATGGACGGCGCTCGAATCTACGCCGAGAACTCTATCAGGAAGCGCAGCGAGCAGATGAATTATCTCCGACTGGCTTCCCGGCTGGACGCCGTGGTGGCTCGCCTCGACACCCAGGCCAAGATGAACACCATCAGCAAGTCTATGGGCAACATCGTCAAGTCTCTGGAATCCACTCTTAACACTGGGAATCTCCAGAAGATGTCCGAGACAATGGACCAGTTCGAGAAGCAGTTTGTGAATATGGAGGTTCAGGCTGAGTTCATGGAGAGCTCCATGGCTGGGAGCACTTCCCTTTCTACCCCTGAGGACCAGGTCAACACCCTTATGCAACAGGTGGCAGACGACTATGGTCTTGAGGTCTCGGTTGGCCTTCCACAGCCTGCTGCTCACGCGGTGCCCACAAACACAGAGAAGGTTGACGAAGACGACCTCTCCAGGCGCCTTGCCGAGCTCAAGGCCCGTGGGTAAACAAAATTCCCATTTTTAAATAATTTGTGCTTATATCACTGCAAATTGACAATATTTATATAATAATATGATTGTGTATTGTGTGAATTTCTACTTCTCTATTGTGCCTGCATATATTTGAGTGTATTTAACTTAATCTTCAGATTGTGAAGTTGATTTCCTTTTTATGTTTTATGGTTTGCATTATATGGTGAGGTGTTTTCTCTAGCTTTCCTGAATGGGTTTGATGTTTGTATTGTAGCCCTTTCCCCATTCCTGCCAAAGGGGTACTAGTCTGGTTGACACAGTAATCTTGAAGAGCTTTTAGGTTTCTTTTCCATTCACTTAACTTCAAATTATTTGTGATCATTAGAGTTGTGTTTTGTCCTGAAACAAATTAGGATATGTGTTTTTGAATTCTAAGGACTAGTTTTCTTAACGCTGTGTTTGGTTCAGGGAGAAAAGAAAATGCTAAGGAAAGGAAAAGAAAGCCAAACAAAATGATAATCATAATCTTTTTTGGTTAGCATAAGAAATTGGTGAGGAAAATATTTTTTTGCAAGTTCTTTGTTTTGTTGTAAAGAAAAAAAGGCAAAGGAAATCTTTTACTCTATAGCTCTTGGTAGAGTCTTGTAAGAATTTGAGCAGGAGTGAGAATGGCGAGATTGAGATCCGAGGGGGTTAAGAGACTACGGTTTCTCTTCTTTCCTGCCTAAAACAGGAAGCAAATTTTTTATTTTCTCATTCTAATTCACTTTTCGTTTTCTTGCACTTTTTTCCCTCGCTAACCAAATTAAATAAGATCATTTTCCATATCATTTTCTATTCACCGAATTCCAAAAACCACACAGTATAAATTTCTGGTATCAAGTAGGAAATAAGAATGAAGTTGAGAAGTTATAAATTTAGGTATGGATGTATGGTGGATTAAAATTGAGTGTTTGGTCTGTATTGGGAAATAAAAGTTAGAGTTTGGTTCTTCTCGGAAGATGGACACATGGTCGCGTCAAATTGAAGCTCCAGTTATTTCTTACCACCGCCAACGTAGTTTTGAGGGGGCTAAGCATGAATTTTGAGGGGTTTGGGGGGGGTGGGGTTGGGGGTTGGGGGTAATCTTTTTGTAACCAAACACCAGGTATGGGTATGGGTTCCCATAGCCATGCTTGATACCCAATACTAGGTGAACCAAAGAAGCCTTAAATGTTTAGCAGCATTCAATGTGGTACACCAGCCAGGTTAACCAGTGTGTCATGATATTTCCATGCATGTGATTGTACAAATAACATATGTTGATGAGGGTTTTAGAATTTTTCATCTCACTGTTCCTTCTTATAAAAGGTTGCAAGTTGCAGCAGGAAGGGCATCCACTGTAAATTATTATTGCACTCCCTTTTCATTTGAAACATTTATGCTTCCCTAATTATGATTTGTAGTTATCTTAAGCTGGCTAAAAGTATTGTCTCAAGCATTTTGTCTAGGGTTATTGGTCAATCCACAGTATAATGGAAATATAAAAGCCTTTGGTCAATCAGTGCCTTACCTGTAATTAGTATACCACTAAACATTTCTCAGAATTCAGAAAAGCTTAGAATAAGGCTGCGTTCCGTTCAACTATTTTTTCTGCTTATTCTTATTATACTCATACCAGATCAGATCATAAACAACTTTAATTATAACTATAATCAGACCAGAACTGATCAGACAAGACCGGATAAAATCAAATTAGGCTCTCATCATCTTGGTGGTATTTACCATTGTTGCTAGGATTATTCATCACTGCAAACTTTTGGCTCATTGCCTTTGGAAGTTGTTTTTCATACATCGACCATAGCTTTTGTGCATATCTGAAGTTTGGATTATTGATTGAATCACTACGTATAGAGTCGACATTAAAATGTACTATGTAGCTTTCAAAAAAATAATAATTGTACTCTGTATGCATGAAATTTAGATTGCATACATACTTGTTGGTTTTATACTATTTAATTCCCTACATCTTATTTTATTTCTCCATTGGTCATTTGGTAATATAAAATATTATTCTCTCATCTTATTTTATATCCTGTAGAACTTTTGATGTACTACGTAGTTTTTAAATATGTAGTATGTATCTTTTAATTCTATACTAATTTATAGATAAAATCATTTTTAAAAAAGATTAGATTTTGTACGTATTTTTGGGCACATGGTCCCCTCTCCCCAACTCATTTCCCAACTCTTTATCTCACCTTATAAATTGTGACACATGACATAACACACTCCAGCATATGTATAGAGGATCTCGTGCCGAATTCTTGCTCCTTAGAACGACTTTTTTTATATCATTTGTGTTTCTGTTCATTACATCAATTTTCCTTTTTTCCAATATTTTTTTTTATCATCAACAAAAATATATTACTATTATTATACATTTATAAACAAAACGATTGGATTTTAATTTGCTCATTTGAATAAAATATTAGTCTCATCATTAAAAAAAATTCTTGTTTAAAAATTAAAGTTCTGTCCTACAAAGTTTTGGTATTGTTATGTTTTTACTTAAAAAAAATTACGATTTGTTTAATTAAAATTTGTTACTGTTTTGCGTTCGTTGAAAAACATTTTTACTATTAAAGCTAATTACCTTACTAAAGTTTTGTTCCTTATTTTTTGTTGTGTGGTAATAAAAAAAGTTTTTGCAATTAAATATTTTTTTTATTCATCATCAGATCTAAAAATTACGGAGTGTGTTGTTATTATCGTGCGTTCATTATTGAAGGACACTTCTTTCGAACTCTATTTAAGAAGTTTCTGCTGCTCCTTTGGGATATTTTTCAATGAGATAAACTTCAAACAAAAAATATCAACAACAAAATAAACTAATGAACGTTGTTGAGTATGAGTTTTATATGTCACGGCAAATTTTTATGTGCTCTTTAGATCGATACTTGTTTTTTGGATCTTAGTATATATAAATACAATGAATAAATTAGACTATTTGCAACAAAAAAATCATGTGTGAAACAAAATGTCTATTATGAAAATAAATGTGGAGTACTAATAGGAACTAAATATTATATTCAATTACCTTCCTTTTTATTTTATTTTCTTATTGTATTATTACTATAAGTCTTCTTCTACCATGATAAGGACTCTTTTTTGAAATTCATATATATAGGAATATATCCTTCAATATTCAATAAGATCAATTATTATCAAATTATATCATGGTATCGAAGCGACAGTTTTCCAAAATCTAAAATAATAGAAAGACCGGCGCAAAGACCGCGGTCGAGGCAGAGGCAGCAGTCGACCATCGTTTGGCCGCAAGAATGGCCCTACCCTCGGGGTCAAACCAACAGTCGGGGGGAGGCCGCAGACCTCCACACGAACTTCCGATATATCAAATCTGTGATAAGCGAGATCATTTTGTTGCTGCCTGCTGGTATCGTTTTGATTACTCTTATACTGAGAATAACTCAACCATCACATCTCACGTTATGCATGATACCTCCAACCGTCAATTTGGAGATTCGTATCTTGATATAGGTGCCAACACTCATGTCACGCACAATCTATCTCAACTATAGTCGTCTACTCCATACCATGGCACTAAAACCATCACTGTAGGTAATGGTCACACCTTAGCCATAACACACGAGTTCCAGATATGTCCACACCTCTCACGATAAATATCACCTCACTTCCCTTGTCAAGTCGCTTTCCTTTCAATCTTTTATCACTTCATCGCTTCACCAAAGACAATAATTATATGCTTGTTTATAATGTCAATGTCATCCGACGTCTGCTATTGTCAAGTCTATTTTGTTGTCTTTAGGTTTCAGCTTTCTGATCCATTACATTGTGAGCCATGTTATGTATCAAAGTCTTGTCGTTTACCATTTGAGTTGCCTGAATACAAAGCTACTTTTCCTTTTCAATTAATACACTCTGATGTTTGGGGTCCAACCTTTATTTTCTGTGTTAATGGTTTTCAATTTGATATATCCTTTATTAATGATTTTAGCAAATTCACATGGACTTACTTACGTAAACAAAAGTCTGAGCCATACTCAGTCTTTGTCAGCTTTGAAAAAATGATTAATACCTAGTTTAACTTAGAGATTCAGATTTTTCAAAGTGATAATGGAAAAGATTTGTTAACATTGCTTTTGGACTCTTTCTTCAAAACTTAGGGATTCTCCATCATACATCATGTCTTTACAAACCTGAGCAGAATGGGGTTGCTGAATGCAAGCACCGTCATGTCATTGAGACTGTCATTGCCTTACTCCATGACTCCCGTCAGCTAGGGTTGTAAAACGAACGAATTGAATCGAATATTGTGAAATTTTATTCATCTTTGAAAAATGATAGCATTATTCATATTCCTATTCTTTTTTATTCGAATAATTATTACTATTCGTATTTGATTTGATATTAAATTCAAATATTCGTATTCGTATTTGTATTCTTTTATGAAATATAATTTTTTATTTTTTACGTTTTATAGCTTCAAAAACTAGTAAAAAATCACCTTAAATAGGAGTAAAATATAGAGAAAGTACCAAAATATGAACTCCATATTTTATCTTTAAAATATGGAGTTCGCACTGTGGTAATGTGACACTGCATATGAACAATTCACAATACTTTTTAGTAATGTACATGGTCATGAATAACATTGTAAATGCATTTTAACTCTTATTTCGAGAATAAAAATATATAACTCCTATTTTGGTTTATTTTCAATGTTTACTTTTACTTTAGTCTTTTTCCTAAAATTAATAGGGTACCAAAAATGACATGTCTACAACAACAACAACCTACTTAGATCCAACGAGAGTAGGGACTGGAGAGGATGTGTGTAGGCAAATCTTGCGCATACGGAGTGTTAGAATAAAGGCCCAACGCTAGAGGGGGGGTGAATAGCGTTTAAAACAAAATCGCAGGAAATTAAAACGAGAGCGTTAAAGTAAAGAGCGTAAGGAAGGAACACACCGGATTTTATCCTGGTTCACCACAACGTGTGGCTAATCCAGCCCCCCGAGAGACTCTCTCGAGCTACACTAACTCCGTTAAGCTTAAGGGTGCTTAACAAACCAATACAACTTGAGAACCCGAGTCACACGAGCCTCAACACCTTTGCTCGGAGATACCGCACTCCAAGACTTCTCACGAAGGAGCAAGGAACTTC